CAATTAATAAGTGGATACAGAATTTGTGGTATATGTATACCATGAAATACTACTCAGCCAAAAAAAGGAATGAAATAATGGCATTTACAGCAACCTGGGTGGAATTAGAGAACATTTTTCTAAGTGAAGTAACTCAGGAATGGAAAACCGAATATCATACACTCTCACTCATCAGTGAGAGCTAAGCTGTGAGGATGCAAAGGCATAAGAATGATACAATGGGCTTTGGAGACTCAGGTGGAAAGGGTGGAAGGGGATTGAGGGATAAAAAACTACATATTGGGTACAGTGTACACTGCTCAGGTGATAGGTGAAACAAAATCTCAGAAATTACCACCAAAGAACTTGTTCATGTAACCAAACATCACCTGTTCTCCAAATACCAGTTGAAATAAAAAAATTAAAAACGAGTCAATATTGGACCATGCTTCATCATCACTCTTTACCAGTTGCCTTCTTTTGGTTTGCAGTCATAGCTCTGTCTGTTTTAGCATGAAAAATACAATTATTCCAATGCTGCCCTGAGAAACACAAAAAATACTTAACTTTATAGTACACACTCTACAACACCACAAATAATACTTGCCAGCCTCATAAATGGATCATATAGCATCCCATTCTTTGTTTATGTGTTCAGAGACTCCAAGTGTCAGCAGTAGCTCTGAATTATTATTTTATCATTCTGTAAGCTCTGGAATACATGTGTAGGATGTGCAGGTTTGTTACATAAGTATACATGTGCCATGGTGGTTTGCTGCACCCATCAACCCTACATTAGGTATTTCTCCTAATGCCATCCCTCTTCTTGCCCCCAAAGCCCCAACAGGCCCCAATGTGTGATGTTCCCCCTTTCTGCGCCCATATGTTCTCATTGTTCAACTCCCACTTATGAGTAAGAATACACGGTGTTGTTTTTCTGTTCCTGTGTTAGTTTGCTGAGAATGATGGTTTCCAGCTTCATCTATGTCCCTGAAAAAGACATAAACTCATTCTTTTTTATGGCTGCATAGTATTCCATGGTGTATACGTGCCACATTTTCTTAATCCAGTCTAACATTGATGGGCGTTTGGGTTGGTTCCAAGTCTTTGCTCTTGTGAATAGTGCCGCAATAAACATACATGTGCATGTGTTCTTACAGTAGAATGATTTATGATTCTTCAGGCATATACCCAGTAATGGGATTGCTGGACCAAATGGTGTTTTTAGTTCTAGGTCCTTGAGGAATTGCCACACTGTCTTCCACAATGGTTGTGGAAGAATGTGCAAGTTTGTTACATAAGTATACATGTGTCATGGTGGTTGTGAAGACAGTGCTCCTAATTATTTTTAATAGGCTAATGGTTGACATTAGAACAAGCCATACATACTTGAGCATGACAAACATCACATCAAAAGTGTTATTAATATCATAACTATCTCATATGTTAGAATGACCTTGCATTTAAAAACAATAGCAAAGCAATTATGGTCACTGCTACATTCTGAATCACACACTTTGGCTCTTGGGATGATTATACTTATTCATGGAGCATTTCCTGCTGATAATTCTGTACTCTTCCTATTGAATTTTGCATGGCACTAACAATTTGTCATGTAAATTCACTTTGAACATTAACTAGAATTGGGAAGAATGTGTTTTTATAAACATATTACTTCATATTGCATTCTTCTTTCAAGTGCCACTGATAATAAAATTTCCAATCGACATGTGACCTTCCAACCTTAATGTCTTGTCACTACATTAGAGACATTGTTTTCAATGACTCAGCACTTGCTCAGCAAATCTTTTTCCTTTTCTCTTCTCATTCCCTGTTTGAGTAGCAAAGAGAATAACACATATCACACAATTTAAAGTCTTCTCTGCTGTTATCCACAGGCAGTCAGTCAGAAAGTTTTATAAGAAAAAATCTTTTTCAACAGAGAAAAATATACATGAATATTTTGTAAGGCACTTTGTGGAGCTGGAAATAAATGAGAAAAGCTACAAGCTGTCGAATTCACTCCCCTAATGTGTCTTTGCTATCATATAAGCAGAATTTAATTCAAAACTGAACACTGCTTTGGAAATTTACTTTCCTCTAGAAGAGTGCAGCCTTGAGGAGAAAGTAATTACTAAATATGAGTGAGGAAAGGGAACAATGGACCGAAGCCTAAACAGATAATTATAGCTGTTACCAGAGGGTTTCAGAGGCAGGAAGAGGAAGAAAATGGTATGTGCATGTTTGACATATTACTATTACACTCTCATTAGCTGCTTTCTAAGCTCTGAAATGTTTGACATGTAATTTAACTACCCAGAAGATAGGGCATTTTCTCTAACCCTTAAAGAGTGATTCTGTTTAAAACAGAAAAAAAGAAAAAAAAAAAAGAAGATAAAAAGGAAGAACATGGTACTATGTGACTAATTTTAGAAACTTATACAAAATAATTGAAAACACTCCTAATTTGGGACTCTCATGAATCACCTACAATATTTTTAATTGAAGTTGTTTCTTGGAGTTGGTTTTTATTAACACTTTTTTTTTTTTCAATTTTTCTGGACAGTGTTTCTTGCTATTGACTGGGAGGTTTTCAAACATTTACACATTTGTGCACATTTATGTTTCAAATAGGTGAACTTATTGTACTCAAAGACTCTGTACCGTAACTTACCTAAATTCCACAGAGATGTGATGATGATTTTCAAAGTATCTGCCTTCCTACTAGAGAAACGTTAATATTATCTTATTCTTTGTTGACTGTTAGCACATTTTATATAAAGAATTCCTGTTAGATCCTTTACAAAAATTTAGATACTGAATCTCTTTAGCATAAAAATTCTTCTCATTTGTTGTCAGGCAATAGAATCGGTAGCTTGCCTAATCTGTTAAACGGGTAGAATTTAACATGTAGCCTTTTTTAAATTTTCTGCTCACAACTTCTATGTTCAGAGCCACTAGACTAACAATTCATGTTTCAACATGATAACTGAAAAGAAAGCCTAACTATAAGCTCCTTGGATGCATAAATTGCTTGTTTTCTTATCTGAATCCTCAGCACTAGTAGAGTCTCTGCAAATGACTTCCCATCCCACCCACCACACCCTCCCACCCCCAAACACATATTCTGGCCTGGCTGAGAAAATAGTGAATTCCTTTTTACAAGGTACTTATATTTTTTTCCAGAAATTTTTCTTGTATGTTACTTCTACTTATTGTTCTTTTGGGCAAAATGTAAAATAAATGTATTGTGAAGACAGTTACCAGATGAATTGTATAAAGTTTCTTCTTTATATTTCTTGTATGACATGGCTTACAGACCTATCTCTCAGTAGGGATTTTATTCTAAAACATATCAAGGCATGCTGAGTGTAAGTTTTGCATGATAAATATTTAATTAATCAATGACAAAAGAAACTGATCCTTTTAGGTATTGTATGGTTCCAACTAATTTAACTAAAAGAATTTTGCACAAACCACGTTAGCTGCTTTCTATTAGCCATAAGTGTTCATTTTAACTTATCACAGAAATTGATGTTTTCAACAAATGGGATACATTGACATGCACTATGTTTGCTTTTCACAGTGACAGCTGCTAAGGTGTATTTTTTTTTTTTTTTTTTGGAAAGTAGGGACAAAAAAGATGTGGAGAAGAGAAGAGGGATAGTTGTAACTCCTAGTTTCAGTTAAACCTTATCCACTTACCTTTGCCATCTCTGGACACAAAATTAGAATTCATAAATTACTCCATCACCGTATCCATCTAGCCTTTGCAATGCCCACAGTTGAAACAGACAGTATATTTTTATTTAAATGCATTTGCACTCTCATCAGCATTGCTTGAGAATGCTCATTATCTCACATACTAACCAGACAGATACTTTGTTTTTAATTTGCCCATCTAGCTTTGAAAACTATAATGTCATTTATATGTTCAGGTTATGAGAAGACTGAATATTATATTTGTTTCCTAGGCATATGTATTTGTTTTTGGAATGGCTTTCTTATACTTTGATCAAGTTTCTATTATGTGATCATTTAAAAGTTACTTATTGAAAAGATTCCTATATTATTATATTAAAGCTTTATATGATATTAATAATCTCAGTTTCTCACTTATCTTTTAAATGTGTTTATGTTGCATTGCACTGTTTGATCATAGTACAAATAGCTTTCTCATCAAGAATTTAAAGAGTTTTTCCTTTTCACCTTTATCTCCAATAGAGAGAATGCCAAAAATAGGGAGACTGCAAAAATGCATATATGTATGTATCAGGGTAAATTTTTCTGTGAGTTGCCAGATAGAACGCAATAAAGATCGATGCTGTGCTATTTTACTCTAACATAGAGTAAGGAATCATTTAGAATATTTACATGCTTTTGCTTATCACATTGATTTCATAAATTTGAGAAATTTGTTACCTCATATCACTCAAAAAGCATAAATTAGAGACTACAACATTTGTTACTCTCCATCATTTTTAAGTTCTTTTAAAGAAAAAAAGGCAACATGTTTTAATAAGAGAGAGAATTATTCTTGTTTCTACATAACATTATTTTAAGTCAAAGTTTTAAAGTTTTGACAAAAATGACGGGCAAAACGATTATAGACAAAATTGTCTGATGATTAAAGAAACCAATATAAAACTTCAGAAAAAATGTTTCAAGACTCAGGTTTATATTAGCTACAGATTAGTAAATCTGTAGTACTTTGTGGGTTCTTTGGCTAAGGATCAATGAAGGTTAAAGTTTCAAAAAAAGTAATGTTATTTAAACATGGGAAATGTCTTAAAATATAATTATTTTAGTCTTGCATATGTAAATACACTTGGAAAGAGGAGCTGCAGGCAGAATTTTCTTAATGAGCTATGACTGTGCTTAAACGAGTCTGTGTGCTTTGTTAATTCGAATTTCCTGATAGAAATTATTTTAATATTCTTCCAAGTTCTAAAGCTTGCCCAGTAAGTGTGCCAGTACAAACAATGAGATGTATTTATTTATTCAGCTCTTTGAGGAATCTCCTAAGTAAGTGTCTTTTTGATTTGTGTCATGTATAAGATTTGCTAAAAAAAAAAAAATTATACTTCTGTGCCAGGACACTTTTATTGTAGGAAACAGATTACATTTAATTGGATTTCTGATCATGCCATCAATAACACTTGTGAGAAAGTTTCTTCTGTTACTAATTTTGTTCTACATGTTTCACAGTTGCATTTATTATGTTTGAAAAGTGTTGACATGATATCTATTAATATTTTATGACTACATTTTAGAAAGCTCTACTGTTTTATTTTAATTGTAATTATTTTTATTTAAGAACTAGTATTTTTTGTTTCTATATGCAATTGAATATTTTATGTAAGAAAGAGGAAAATGGCTTCATAATAAATAATTGATTCTTATCCAGAAAGGTAGAAAAAAAACATAGATGTCCAATTCTTTTCTGTTATTGTGTTTTGTTGTTCAAATTTTCCTGTCCTAAATTAAGGCAGAACCTTCTGTTTCACTCAAATCCACCAAAAATCCATTCCAGATCTAGAAATCTCTCTGTTAGCTAAGGGCAATGTTCAAATATTCATGATCTTTGGGCGTGAAATGGTCTACTTCAAACATATTATGTTTTTCAAATAGCTTTTATCTTTAAAATTTGTGCAATTTTAAAAATGTTTAGCCTTTAGTATATCAATTTGTTTCAATATAAGACATAATGTTACAAATCATTTAACATAAAATAAATTTAGTAGTTTAGGAAGGACATCACCTGGCATTGTATTGAGCTCCTTGAACAAAAAAAAAGAAATACCAGTAATTAAGCAAAAAGCCAGGCAAGCAGTCCGGAGATGAGATATAGGCATGAGGTCTTGAAATTACAGCACAATCTGTCTCCCAATCCTTTCTTGATGTGACAAGAATTGATATTTGGTTTTCCAGCTCAGAGGACACAGGTCCCAGAGCTAAAAATGCCTACAATGGTGACGATTCATCAAAACGGGTAGTTATGCATGAGTTGGTCACCAGAAGTCTGGATGAGATACAAGGTCCACAACATTTAAAACACTGCACTCCAAACCAAGTATAATGTTCGAGACATCCTCTGATGAGCAAAGAGAATAGTTGAACAACTACATCACAAGACGTTTCATTTTATCTCAACATTCTAGAATTGCATTTTTTAAAGGTGTGACATAAGCAATATTATTTTACTTGTAAGAATGAAAAATGAACAAATATGAAATAATAACTTATCTGAGACTATTCTGTGTTTTCACTTGGAATAAACAATACCAACATTTTCTCCAGGTCCTTTTTCTTGGAAGAGCTGTACAATCAAGGACTCTATATCTCAAAATCATCCAATCACAAGTGCTGGACTTCTCTCATGAAGCCACTGGATTCTGCTCACCTAAAGATAGTCTTTCCCCAAACTTTGAATATTGTAGACCTTAATAATAAAAATCCTTTTGAAAAAAAATTGATGTCTGCTTATTAGTCATGCAACACTATGAGTTTGTCCACCTCATCATGAAGTCCTTATTTAGTAATGAAACGTTGATTAACACTGATTAACTGATAGATCACTGATTAAAATGGTTCATTAGGGATGTAACTTGCATCTTATTAATAAACAACCAAATTATCTTCATCTCACATACTGTCACTAAATAGTTTAGTCTTAAAAGGAATTATCTGTCTTCTCCAAATAGTAATGCTTTATTTCTTAACACCTTTCTTAATTGCAAATGCTAGTCTCTTACTACACTTACAAATGGAATTTTAAAATCTAAATTATGTAATTTTTTGTTTTCAGGTTAGCTTTTCACCATTTCTTGGGTAACATTGCATAAAATATTGTACCTAAGAACTTCATCCTAGATACTCAGCAAAATTATAATATTCAATAGTCTTCAATCCTTTTAAATTGTGTCTGTAGTAGCTGTTTCTTCTGCCTCCAAAATATTAATGCTGCCTAAGTTTATCTCCTAGCTGCTGTCTTTCTCTCCTTTTTCTTCTTTTAGAGTTCTAGTCTCATAAATGCTTTATTTCTACCCAAATGACACCTAAATCTTCTCCTCTAGTGCAGCTACCTTCCCAAACGTCATCTATCTTATTTGTATATATTTATTATATATGTCTATCAAATATTCTTCTATCACCCAAAATTCAATATTGAAAAGTAACTGTTGTACAAGAAAAAGTTATCTGATGCTAGAAATAATTCAAAAGTTTGGGTTGGGATCCTGGGTGTGCCTTTAACTGATTGTGTGACCTTTCATCATGTTGCTGAATTCCTTGGGACATCAGTTGCCTTGTTTTTAAGACATGGATATTTTCAGGAACTTTGTACATTTCTCTGTTTTCCAATGTGGTGTCATTTGATGATTAACACTGGTCTTTTCCTCCATACTTTTTTTTTTCTCTCTTTTCAAGTTTCTATAACACATATTCCATTCTTCCACTCTCCTAGGCTCAAGAACTCATCTTATAACTTTCCTTATGTTTTGAACTCTAAATCTGGCCAGTCAAAATGAATTGGCACCTCATATTTTATTTTGATTCTTGTATAATAATATCTCACAAATACAGCATTTTCTTCCTATTTCCATTGGATTGTCCATATTCTGGATTTTTTAAAACTTCTCTCTGACATATCAAAAAGTGTTCTGTTCTCTTGTGTCAATTTTGTATTCTGCCATTCTAATTTTTCCTTAATTGACAAAATTTCCATCTAAAATGTTTTCCTCTCTCCGTTCCTTTGTTCTAAAAATGATATAAGGTAATTTAAAAAGAATGCTGCCTTCAAATTTTTTAAAAATCAGAAAAGTAATAAGCAAAAATAAAATCATTAAAAGGAGTCACAAATAAGGATGGAAGGCATCTTTGCTAAGAGTGACCAACAAATTCAGTTTCCCATTCATGGTGGACAATCCCTAAGGTGATCCCAATATTTTCTGGCTCCTAAAATTCCACCGTTGTTCTGGCTCTTCCTCTTGCATCCAGGTTTAACTGGTGATTTGATCCAATCAAGAGAAATTTGAAAGGTTATAACCACATCTTTAAATATGCTATGTTATATAAGACTCTGTCTTTGTCCACAGAGGTGAGAGGCTTTTCTCCCTTATTGGTTTAAAGAAACAAGCTGACACAGTTTCAGAAGGCTATGGGGTACACCACTTAACAGGGGAAGTCAGGCAGCCTGTAAAAACAGAGATTCCATCCACAGGCCAATAGCCAGCAAGAGAGTGATCTCAGTCCTATAACCACAATGATGTGAATTCTGCCAACAACCTGAGGGAGCTTGAAAAAGACTTTTCCCCAGTCAAGCCTCTGATGAAATTTTAGCCCAGTGGAAATCCTGACAGAGGGCCAGCTAAGTGTTGCTTGGATTATTGACCCACAGAGACTGTGCAATGATAAAAGGATATTGTTTTAAACCATTAAGCATATAATTATTTATTTAGAAGCATGGGAAACTAATAAAATATTCTATTATTTGTTAAGGCATTGCAAAATATTTTACTTTCAATAAGCAAATTGTAATTCTGATGCATAGACTACTCTCAGGAGGTGAAAACTGGAAGAGTCAAGATCCTACCTGGAGTTGTGATAAGATTAGTGCTATTTTTCCAATACACAGTTGTTGTTTTCCTGTACCATCATTTCCATATTTGTTTTCCTACCACACTCCTTGCATGAAATGTTTTCACTCCCCAATCACTGAAGATATAATGTCTACACTTGGCTGTTTGTGCTTTAACATCTATATCCAATCTCATCACTTGCTCCTTTCTAATAAATGTCTCTCACATTTATTATCTCTCACATAATAAATGTCTCACAGTCATCTATTTACTGCTCTCTGCAGGTATGATTCTTAACATCCACGTTAGAGACACTTTCCATTTTGCCTCTTAGACATTCTTAATCCTTCTTATTGGAATGATTCAAACCTTTTTTTAATCATACTGATAATTCTGTAAAGCCCAGTTATCTCTTTCTACCACAAGATCAGTAAGACCTGCTCTAATATACCTTATATTTAACCTTTTTAATATTTACATTGCTTATTTTTTGTCTTCTCCTTTGTAAGGTCCATGAAGACAAAAATGTTTATGTTTCATTCACTAATGTGTTCCTAACACCTAGAATATTACCTGGGACAGAGGAGGGAGGAGGTGCTCAAAAGATATTTGCTGAATAAACTCATAACCCTTGTTAGTATCACTTATTTACTATTGAAGCTATAAAATTATATCCAATCTCATATAACTTATTGTTCAATTTGTGAGTGTGCACATCATATCTTCAATTGGGTTAAGAACAGGGTTCCTGTGTTATTTGCAGTGCATCTTTGAAGTAAGTCCACTGCAGCTGAGTAACACAACAAATATCTTTCTCCTGGATAGAAGAAAAATGTTGGATATTGTACTTTTGTATAATAACTGTAACTAGTATTATATATTCAACATATCCTTTGAAGTCTCCTTCAAATATCATTATATTTTTAATGATTCAGATTATACTTTCAAATATATTTTCTCTTAACATCATATTGGTTTTCTATGGACAATAGCTTTTAATATTTTGACTTTGGTAGCTTAACTGCCTACATATTTTTTGTCAAGTAATTTGATGGCCTGTAAAATAATAATAAATCCTTTAGGCATTCATTGTCCTAACTTTTTATGTATGAATAATTAGGGAATAGTGTCTTCATTGTTGAAAACCTCATCATAATTTTTCTGCCTAGTTATTTAGATATTTTTCATATATTATGTTGTTTAAAGCAGGCAACATGGCTTTAGAATACATATAATTGATGCTCGTTCACTGTATTATTCTAAGCCATATCAGAGTCTTTAAAAACATTATGCATACTCCTTTATAAGAGGACTGGCAGTATACAACCTGATATTAACATTCTTAGGGTAATGCTATCCAAAAGACCATAAACACGCAGAACTCAGTTTCTTTCTCTAATAAATTGGTGTCAGAGGTTAAAATGATTAGAACCTAAAAGCTGATGAGGTAATATTCAATTTTTAATTAGTAATAAGTTTTGAAGTGGGTGGCTAATAAAATCCACTAGCAGGTGTTCTTATCAACGAACATGTCTGCAGGAGGTCTTCCACATCTTGGTGTGCCAATAAATGATGAGTTCTTAAAAACTGCCATAAATGGAAAATAAGCATTTATAAAGTAATATTTATATAGGTTAATTTCAGGGGTGAACACAGTAGGAACTTAAAATACTGAAGCTGAAAACTAATTTGTCGCATGGTCCTGAACTGCATTTTCAAGCAAAATCTGCAAGTTCAGATAATTATAAAGTATTCCATTATTGACATACTGAGAAAAAAATAATTTTATAAACAGCCATTTGCTAGAACTCAGCTACAATTTCTGTGAATGACAGCATATAAAACTATTTCACACATACAATATATAAGAGTAACACTTTAAAATCGCAATAATTAGAATAAATAAGTCTAACTCCATTTTAACCAGAGTTTTAAGTCTTCATCCCCAACTTTTGCTGTAGAGAAATGTAGTGTCATTATATTGATTCTAAATTATTGTAATCTAATTTCTTATTAATCCATCATAAAAGCTTGTTGACAAATCACAAGTCATGATTCAGTTCCAAGTGAGATTGTGCAGCTCATAATTTGAGTACAAAATGTGATAATAAGACAATAAAGGGAGTGATATGTAATCTCATCGTATGCAGAAATTAATCATGTGAAATAGGGAGAATGCTCTGATATGGATATGTATATCTATATAGTGCAACTTAGAGAAGCAAGTGGGAAACAAAACTTGTTATGTCAGTACTAGAGGTGGTACCTACTGTGGATTTGTCTAATACAGATGGAAGCTATTCTTCATTATTTGTGGTTCAGAATTCTATTGTATAATTTTAAATGATGAGCGTGGCAATCATGTTGGAATACATCTCTGAGAAGCTGAAATGCTTCATTTCAGAAGATGCAGTTGCTTTTGAAGGGACCATTTCCAAAATGTTTCATTTTTTTTTTTTGGCAAATGCCTGTTTAAAACAAATTTCAATGCACCTTCCCTAAAATCTTAACCAGAAAAGGTTTTCTAAAATACTTCTTTTTTAGACTTAATTGTCATAGAATCTATCTCACTGTTTAGAGAACATTTATTTACTCATCTAGACATTGAGTCACAGCGCAATAATCTGGACTTATTTCTGTTCCTCTGAGTGTGCAAGAGGAAGTAGGAAAATAATTTCAGAGAAAAATGTATTTGTGTGTATGTGTATGGGTAGCAACACACACACACACACACACACGCACACAGAAAATAAATAGAACAACATCCCGATAACTGGAGTTAAATTTCCAGAAGAAATAATAACATAGAAAAGAATTTAACATAGAGACTGAGATAAAGGGAAATGTAGATAGTACATAATCAAAAGGGAAAGAGAAGAATTTCAAAAGAAACTTCAAAAGACTAATTAAAATCACCCAGCTATAGGGAGAACAAACCTTCAAGCAGAACCATGTAATGCATTAAGAACACAGACAGCTAGAGGAAGAAGACTAGATGTAATCTTAGTACAAGAGAAACAAGCCTCAATACAAAAAAGGAAATTGATTTCACATCAAGGGAGGAACTGAGGCTCTTTCTCTGGTCTGTTAAAAGAAAAGAAATGTAGATGGGGACATTAATTTAAGACACCAATGGCTATGTTTGGAGATGTGCAAGATCCATGTTTGACCTATGAGGCCAAATTTTAAGTTCAATGTGTAAGATGTGAAGGTTGGTTATTGATATATAAATGCAAGGTTGGGATACACTTAAATTCACACACACACACACACACACACACACACACACACACACACACAAATGCACATAGAAGTATTCCAATAGAATTAAGAGGCTTATGAACAAAAAAAGAGGTTTATATAATATTGCTTTTCTGATCTTTGTTACTATTAAAATTAGCTAAAATTAATTTCTCAAAAGGTATGAAATATATACATATGTAGGTTTATATCTCTATCTATCTATCTATCTGTGGAGAAACATATATTTTTAGAACCAAAAATCAAAATTAAAGCAATGGTTGAAACAAAAGATTCCTAGCTTCCCTTTCAAGATGTTTTGGTGGCAGGATATATTCAAAATGATAGAAAGCACTCAAGGGAAGGAGTAAAACCAAAAGCTTTAAGAGAAAAGTAGATATTCCCAGCTGTAGAAGTATTAAGTGGAACTTGCACTTGGAAAAAATAATCGAAGGTGAAGTAGAGCAGAAAAAATAAAAATGAAACTGCAAAGGAAAGGCTCTTATATTGGCAGAGTCAAGAGAAGGAAAAGGAAGTCAGTTAAAATTAAATTCTCTATCCACAGAAACTCTAAAGTTTACTTATTCATTTAACATTTACCCTGAGCCTACTATGTTTTAGATACTATGATATGGATTACTGAAAATGTTTAAAAACACATTTCTGACACTCAAAATGCTCACACTATTTTGGGATTATTACAAAAAAGGTGGTAATCATAATGCAATATTTAACATCATTGATTTTAATGGAAATAAATCTGGTCTTATAATGCCTCAGTGTTTCTCCTTATGCTACTTTACTAATGAACACATAGAAAGAATTCAGGAAATGCTTTATAGTGTACTTATTACAAAGAGCATGTCCTCTGACCATGTCCTAATGAGCTTTACTAACCTGTCAGGGTTAAGGGTATTCTTGTTAGAGCACTGGCTTATAGTTAGTACTCAGTAAATGTTAACTGCTATTGTTTATTTCTCAGAAAAATCATAGAAGCTTGGCACTATTATTATACTCAGTCTAAACAAGGGGAACAAAAGATAGAGATTAAGAAATCGACTAGTATTTGCCAAGCTAATAATTGGCAAGAGACAGCGTTCAAATTTAGGGGCTGTCTGCTCTCAAAATCTTTAATATTATACTACTGTTGTTTTTCGATGCAGTCTATGCAAAAAGTTTTACCTGGAGGCACAAAGGAAGTCCACACTAATTATTACCCATTACTACTATTAGTATAAGGATCCTCTCATTTATGACATTGTTTCTCAGTTTGTATACCTATCATTGTTAGAAAACAGACTGCTATGAATCACACTCCTTCTAGCTGTACATGTTCAATTCTGCCTAAAGATTTTGTACTTGTAGTGTCTCTGACAATAATATGTTCCTTCCTTCATGGTTTAACATAGATGGATCTCTTCTGAGATTTTTGTCTAAGCTCAAATTGTCTCTCAGAGGAGGTTCCCTTGAGCACCCTATCTAGTGACACACTGGCCCAGCCCTGTGCTGTCCTCTCTCTTTAGCTAGCAAACCCCTCAGCATTCATCCTGCCCTAATTTGTTTACTTTTATTCTCTTCCTAAGAGAATGTGACCAACGCTCTTGTTCACCTCTACACCCACACAAGATAGGAACTCAGTAAATATTTGCTGAATGAATAAAGTGACTATGACACATCCATAAGCCTCGAATGCAGCTCATAAATGTTAGTTCATCACTCTGCTTGCCCACTCTTGTAAGTGGGAACAGAAAATCTGTATTTTAAGTGAACACATATTTTTCTATAGCTCCATGTCTTAGCTCCCTTTCATGTGTTATTCATCAGTAATAAGAATCATACTCTTATATGACTTAGCTAGAAGTTATTCCACCTTCTCCGTTTATCATATTCCCTCTAGACAGCCTAACTTTTCCTGGAAGTTGTTAAAAAGCACTTATAAAATTTGTTTTAGTTGCCCAATTTGAGTCAGGTGCGTAAAGAAAAATAAATGCAAGATATGGTGCTGCATAAATATGTAATTTGAGCACACAAAAAACTAGCAATTGAGTGATACTGAATAAAATTGATAAAACAGTTTGAGAAAAGTAGAGAGATAAGTTTGTGTGTATGTCTATGTGTGTGTTCTTCTTCTCTCTCTCCTTTTATCTCTTTCTACTTCCCTGTTTTTCTCCCCTCCCTTTCTCCCTCCTTACCTACCTCCTTCCTTCCCTCCCTCCCTCCCTCCCTCCCCTCCTTCCCCTCTCCTCCTCTTCTCCTTCTCCTCCTCCTCCTCCTCCTCCTCCTCCTCCTCCTCCTCCTCCTCCTTTTTAGGTTAGGCAGAATGAAAGAGAAAAGAAATATTTTGCTATCTGGAGGAAATTCCTTTGCTCCAGAAAGTACGTTAAAATTCATCAAATTAAACATAATGACCTCCTCTGAATTTCCCCAAAATAAGCAGAATAATGAACAACTCAATATTTATCATGATATCTCTCTTATGAAGTAGGAGACAAATCATACAAATATGGCTAATATTTATTATTGAGTTGGTCGTGTATTTCAAGGTCTTATCAAAATTGTTTCTAGCAAAACACTCTATGCCCTCTTTTCCATTAATGTAATGAGATCAAAAATGATCTCTAAATGTTAAGTATTTTATCCATGATCTTGAAGTTTATTCTTCACAGACAATAAAGAAAATAATTATCTAGATAGCCTTCCATAAATCACAGACTTTGAGTTCTGCTTCTCTACTGGCCACAAATATCATTTGTCCTTGGGCTTCACTCATGTGGCATATGGCTAAATATCTATTAAGCTGAAGTAAGGTAAACAGTTTCTGCATTGTTACTAAGGGGATTACTTTTACCATCATTTCCCAAGCCCAATTATTTTTGGATCAAAAGGAACTATTCAGAAGGTGATATCTCACAGTGGTTTTAAGGACCCTGTTATCTCCAATATGCTGGAAGGCCATAATTTACCATTCAGCATATCTCCAATATGCTGAATGGTAAATTAAACTAAAAGATTTTCAAGACAAAGTACTATATATTCAGAACAATCATTTCCTATAACACAGGAATATCTCATTTTATTGTGCTTCACTTGGTTGCACTCTGCAGATATTGCATTTTTTATAAATTGGAAGTTAGTTGCAACCCTGCATGGAGCAAGTCTGTCAGTGCCATTGTTCCAACAGCATGTGCTCACTGTGTACCTTTGTGTCACATTTTGATAATTTCCACAATATTCAAAAGTTTATTAGTATTTGTTTACCTGTTGTGGTGATCTGGTGAACAGTGATCTTTGATGTTACCTGGTCTAATTGTTTTGGGGTGCCATGGACCTTTCTCATATAAGATGGTAAACTTAATCAGTAAGTGTGTGTGTTCTGACTTCTAATCCTCCCATCTCTCTCTCTCTCTTCAGACCTCCTATTTCCTGAGACAAAATGATATTGAAATAAACTAATTAATAGCCCTACAATGGACTCTAAGAGTTCAAGTGAAAAAATAAGTCATATGTTGCTCACTTTACATCAAAAGTTAAAAATGATTAACATGAATGAGGAAGGCATGCCAAAAGCAGGACAGGCTGAAAGCTTGGCCTCTTGCACCAAATGGCAATGTTGTGAATACAAAGAGGAAGTTTTTAAAGGAAATTGAAAGTGTTACTCCAGTGAACACACAAGTGATTAGAAAGCGAAACAGCAACATTGCTGATACAGAGAAACTTTTGCTGGTCTCCATAAAAAATCTGCCACAACATTAAAAAAACAAACAAACAAAAAAAACTATGTATAGATAGTTGTATGATTGTATGCCTGTATGCAAATATCTCATGCACCCCATATATGTATACATACATCTACATATATACATATATGGGGTGCATGAGATATTTGTATAGAGTCATACAACATTTAATAATCACATCAGTGTAAATGGGGTATCCATCACCTCACGTATTCATTATTTACTTGTGTTATGAATACTCCAATTGTACTCCATCATTCTGATTAATAGTTAACAAATTATTACTGACTGTAGTCACCCTGTTGTGCCAACAAATACCAGATATTATTCTTTGTATATAACTATATGCTTTTTACCCACTGATCATCTTCATTTCTCTCCCCCACCACACTACCCTTCCCAGCCTGTGGTAACCATCATACTACTCTCTATCTGCATGAGTTCAGTTGTTTTTATTTTTAGCTCCTTCAGTTATAAATGAAAACATGCAAAATTTATCTTTCTGTGCCTAGTTTATTTCACTTAATAACCTCCAGTTTCATACACATTGTTGCAAATGACAGGATCCCATTCTTTTTCATGCCTGAATAGTACTCCCTTGTGTGTATGTACCATATTTTCTTTTATTCATTTGTCTGTTGGTGCACACTTAGGTTGGTTCCAAATTGTGGTTATTATGAATAGTGCTACAATAAATATGGGAGTGCAGATATCTCTTCAATATACTGATTTCCTTTTTGGGGATGTATATCTAGCAGTGGGATTATTGGACCATATAGTTGTTCTATTTTTAAATGTTTGAGGAACCCACATACTGTTTTCCGCAGTGGCTTTACTAATTCACATGCCTGACAGGAGTGTATGAAAGCTCTCCTTTCTCCACATCCCCACCATCATTTGTTATTGTCTGTCTGTTGGATACTAGCCTTTTTAACTGGGGTGAGATGGTAACTCACTGTAGTTTAAATTTGCATTTCTCTGATGATCAATCATGTCGAGCACCTTCTTTCTACATGTGTGCCATTTTTATGTCTTCTTTTGAGAACTATCTATTCAGATTCTTTGCCCATTTTAAAATCAGATTATTAGATTTTTTTCCTCGAGTTGTTTGAGCTCCTTATATATTCTGGTTATTAATCTCTTGTCAGATGGATAGTTTCCAAATATTTTCTCCCATTCTCTGGGTTTTCTCTTCACTTTGTTGATTGTTTCCTTCTTTGTGCAAAAGATATTTAACTTGATATGATCCCATTTGTCCATTTTTGCCTTGGTTGTTTGTGCTTGTGGGATATTGCTCAAGAAATCTTTGCCTAGACCAATGTTTGAAAGAGTCTTTCCAATGTTTCCCTTCAGTACTTTTACAGTTTGAGGTCTTAACTTTAAGTCTTTAATTCATTTTGATTAGATTTTTGTATGCGGCAAGAGATGGAGGTCTAGGTTCATTCTTCTGCATATGGATATCCAGTTTTTCCAGCACCATTTATTGAAGAAACTGTCCTTTCTCCAATGTATATTCTTGACACCTTTGTCCACAATGAGTGCACATTAGATGTATGGATACATTTTTGAGTTCTCTATTCTGTTTCATTGGTCTATGTGTCTGTTTTTATGCCAGTACCATGCAGGTTTGGTTACTATAGCTCTACAGTATAATGTGAAGTCAAGTAATTTGATTCCTCCAGTTTTATTCTTTTTGCTCAAGACAGCTTTGGCTATTCTGGGTCCTTTATGGTTTCATATAAATTTTGGGATTGTTATTTCTATTTATGTGAATCATATTGCTGGTATTTTGATAGTATTTTGGTATGTTAATAAAGATTGTATTGAATATGTAGACTGCTTTGCATAGTATGAACATTTTAACAATATTAATTTTTCCAATCTATGGATATGGAATATCCTTCTATTTTTGTGACCATTTCTATTTCTTGCACCAATATTTTATACTTTCATTGTAGAGATCTTTCATTTCTTAGCCTTTATTCCTAGGTATTTTGTTTCCTTTGAAGCTATTGTAAATGAGATTACTTTCTTGACTTCTTTTCAGATTATTCACTGTTAACATATAAAAATGTTACTGATTTCTAATGTTAATTTTTTATCCTGAAACTTCACTGTTTTTTTTTGTCTGTTCTAATCTGTATGTGTGTGTGTGTGTGTGTGTGTGTGTGTGTGTGAAGTCTTTAGGTTTTTTCAAATGCAAGAATGTATCAACTGCAAACAGAGACAATTTGACTTGTTCCTTTGCATTTTGGATGCATTTTATTCCTTTCCCTTGTTGAATTGTTTTAGCTAGAATTGGTTTGGAAAGTTTTCTGTTACTATCCATTTGAAAAAAAGTTTCTACCCTAATCTCCCTATCCATTTTACCCTCAAGGCCAATAACTGAGATTTGCCCTTTTGACACTATTTTCTATATCACGTAGGCATACTTAATTATTTTTTATTCTTTTTTTCTTTTGTATTCTCTGACTGTATATTTTCAAACTGCCTATTTCCAAGCTCAGAAACTCTTTCTTCTGCTTGATCAATTCTGCTGTTGAGAGACTCTAAAGCATTCTTCAGTTTGTCAATTAAATTTTTTACCTCCAAAATTTTTGAGCTGCAAAATTTTTGCTTGATTCATTTAAATTATTTCAATCTCTTTGTTAAATTTGTCTCGTAGAATTTCGAATTATTTTTCTGTATTGTCTTGGATTTCATTAACTTTCCTCAAAACAGCTGTTTTGAGTTCTTTGTCTGAAAGCTTACATATCTCTGTCACTCTGGAATTGGTCACTGGTGCCTTATTTAGTTTGGTGAGGTCATGTTTTCTCAGATGGTCTTGATGCTTGTCTATGTCTGTAGATGTCTGAACATTGAAGAGTTAGATATTTATTCTAATCTTTGTAGTCTGGGCTTGTTTGTACCCATTCTTCTTGAGAAGGCTTTCCAAATATTCAAAGGGAATTAAGTGTTGTGAACTAAGTCTTTGGCCACTGCAG